TATCAATGCGTATTATTTTTAAGTTTAATTAAAATATATTGGCAGTGTTAGTATCATCTAATGATACTTTTATATTATTAGGTTCTTTTGTAGTCCATTTGATAGGGAGGACAATTGCAAAAAGAATAAGGTAGACCGAAATTTCTATGGTGTGGAATGTTCCCATGGGTTTGGATAAGTCTTTATCTTATTCAATGACCCTTATTCAAAGTGTTGGATGTGAATTTTGGATCTTAAGATAACTTACACTTCTTTTTTCTTTTTTTTTAATTAAGCAATGCAAACATTATTTTTTATTTATTTATTTGGAAATGATGTACCAAAATAAATCCAAGTTAAAGATGATAAAACAGATAAGTCCAAGTTTATCTCACCTTTAATCAGTCAAAAATAAAATAGGATTGACTGATCAACCATAGTCAGGACATATTATAGACTCTCAATATAATCGAGTCAACCTATCAATATTTATTTATATAATTTTGTTTATATATATATATATATTAAAATATATTTGTATAAAAATAATACCTAATTATAATCAATAATTTAAACATAATTTATCAATATTTATAATTTGAATTATAATATTATAATATATTTGTATAGTTTAGTAAGATAAAAATTTATAATATTTTTAATTATAATTATTTTTATTTTAATATAAATATTTTTTTAAAAACAAGTTAGTGAACTAACCTACCTCATCCCACTCTGTGTATGTTGGATTAACGGATAAAACAGATGGGACACAACGAGTTAATAGGTTAAAACTACTAACTTGTCTCATATTTTTTAGACTGACTAACTGGTCGACATGACTTGCCAAATCTAACTCATTAAGTCATCCTAATATAAGTGTATATAATAATTAATTATTTTTTAATAAAAATAAACATCCAAAAATATAAATATAAAAACTAAACATTTTATTAAGATGATATTATTAAAATGTTTATAACAATATTATAATAAATAGTTAAATAAAAAATTAGGAAAAAAATAAGTGTAAAACAAATGATAAAATTAAGCTAATTTAAGTTTAGATTTATGTTTATATTTAAGAAAAAAGAAATATATATATATATATATATATATATATATATATATTCCCGAAAAGTAAGTATAACATCGCTAAAATATTTTTTATTTCATTCAAAAATCATCTTTGATAACTCGTTTTATTTTTTATCATTAAAAATTAATATTATAATATTTATAAGCAATAATTTAATTACCACATGTATCATTCCTTATTTTTGTTGTGCTTGGCACGTTGCTAAGTACACTTTAGAATATAAGTGTTAAAAATCTTTGTAAAATAATTAATATATTTTTATTATATTTAATAATTATAACTTAAAAAGATGTTAGCAACATTTTAATATATATTTTCAATTTTAACTAAAATTTGTAAGAAATTATAAGTTTTTATAATCTCATATCTTCACTAATAACTCTTACAAATAATTTTATAACTCTAAATTAATTTTAAACAATAATAAAAAGTTACAAAAATGTTCATAATATTTTTTAGGGTGAAATATGTTTTTCATTCAATAACTATAATAAATATATATATGTTTAATATAATTATAATATTTTATTTAATTTTCATTTAATATCAGTTACTCTTTGAGTTTTTACTTTCTTTGTTTCATAATTTGAGTATGTCGAGATCAAAAAATTGCCTGTTGATGCTAATGATATACCACACCAATCGTCCCTTCAAGAACCTAATACAAAAAAAATAATTATGCCGAGATCGTGTCACTAGAGGTATCCCTAAGCCTACTTATGATCCTGACCTCACCAGTAAGACAAGATACCCCCTATGAGTAATTAAATTTGTAACCAAAATTTGTCTAACTCAAATATCGCATTTATAAGTCAATTATCTACTGTATCTATTCCTAATAGTGTGCAGGAAGTTTTAGCTGACTCTAGGTGGAAGGATGCTATGAATGAGGAGACGAGATCCTTGCAAAGAAATAAAATATGGGAATTGGTAGATTGTCCAATTGGAAAGAAACCAGTAGGATGTCGATGGGTGTATACTATGAAATTTAATGCAGATGGCACAATTGAAAGATTCAAAGCTAGATTAGTGGCAAAGGGGTACACACAAACATATGGAATAGATTACATTGAAATGTTTGCTCCTGTAGCCAAAATTAGTACAGTTCGAGTATTGTTATCTCTAGCTGTAAACCTTGATTGGTCCTTACAACAATTTGACATAAAAAATATCTTCTTACACAGGGAATTGTCTGAAGAAGTTTATATGAAGCTACCAGAAGGATGTGAGATCCCGAATACACATAGTAAGAAGGTATGCAAGTTGAAGAAGTCATTGTATGGACTAAAACAATCACCACGAGCATGATTTGGTAGATTCACCAAGTCAATGATTACTTTTGGATATCAACAGAGCAACAAAGATCATACCTTGTTTCTAAAGAAAAAAGAATGAAAGATTACAATTCTTATTGTCTATGTTGATGACATAATAGTTACGCGAAACGATCTAGAGGAACGCAAGGCATTGAAAGAGTACTTGGCAAAGGAATTCGAGATGAAGGATCTTGGTCCTTTGAAGTATTTTCTTGGAATTGAAGTCTCAAGATCAAAGTCAGGTATTTTTCTCTCACAACGAAAGTATGCATTGAATTTACTAAAAGAAATTGGAATGACAACATGTAAACCAGCAAATTCTCCAATTGAAGGGGGATTGAAGTTGTGCATTGAAGAATATCAAACTCCAACTAACAAGGGAAGATATCAGAGACTTGTAGGGAGATTGATGTATCTCTCACACACCATGCCAGATTTAACTTATGCTCTTAGTGTGGTTAGCCAATTCATACACAATCCAGGTGAAAAACATATGGATGCTGTTATATGGATTTTAAGGTACATAAAAGTTGCTCCTGGAAAAGGAGTTATGTTCAAGAAGAACTCCAATTACAAGGATGTGATAGTTTATACTGATGCAGATTGGGCAAATGCTCTTGATGATATAAAATCAATATCTAGATACTTTACATTTGTAGGAGGTAATCTTGTCACATGAAAAAACAAGAAGCAGAAAGTTGTAGCTAGATCTAGTGTAGAAGCTGAACTTAGAGGAATGGTTCTTGAACTTTGTGAATGTTTGTGGCTCAGACTATTTCTCCAGGATTTAGGGTATGCACATATACGTCTCATTCAGTTGTATTGTGATAATAAAGTTGTGCGCGACATTGCTCATAACCTTGTCTAACATGATCGGATGAAACATGTAGAGGTTGATAAATTTTTCATCAAGGAAAATCTTGATAAAAATATTCTGGAATTGTCAAATATTCGATCTGAAGATCAACTGAAAGACATTCTTACCAAAGCTGTGACAAGTCAAATTTTTAGGAGATTATTGGACAAGTTGAGAATGTATGACATCCATTTATGAACTTGAGGGGGGTGTTGTGATAAAGATATTTGATTAGCTAAATTATAAGTTTGTATAACAGTACAAAATATTGTATAATCAGAACTTCCTTTTTTTAGTCTTGATTTGTTGGAGTAAAATACTATAAGATCATAGTATGCGTGTATAAAAATAATATGAATAAAATTATAGAATGAATTCTATATTATTCAATTGGTTATATAAAGGAAGCAAGAATTTTGTTTTTGCCATAACGTTAGAAAGTGTGAGAGAAGAAAGAAAGACAAAAAAAAAATTGGGAGGAGAAAATTAGAAAAAGAGAAACTGAAGAATGTATTTTTATTAGATTTTTCATAAATAAATGTTAGTATTTTCCTTATCATTGATATGAAGATATGAGAATAAAATATTTTAAAATCCTAAAGAGTAATTTTCCAAAATTAAATTAAGAATACATAAAAAACAATCAGAAATAAGAATATGACTGAAAATCTATTTCAAATCATATTTAAATTCAGATTTTGATATTATTATGAGTATTTTTAAGAAGAGAAATTCACGAATGAATTATAAAGTAGTTATACAAAGAATTTAGTCCAAAATCTTAACAAGTTATATTTTTAGGTCTTTCAGTTATAATTTTAATTTAATTTTTTAAAGTTTTTTCTTAACATACAACACACATTTCTTTTATTACAATCTCAACTTTCATAAATAAATGCAACTTCGCAATTTGCAAGGGCGTGACGTAAGATGCTTGCATATTGCCATTAGCCAGATAGCGACAAAAGCATATTCACATCTGCCAGCTATAAAGCCTTTTTATATTATTAAAATTTATAATATAATTTTAGTTCATTAAATTTTTTAAGTAAAATAGTAACAAATAAAATGTTATTGAAAATTAATTAACATGTTCTTTATTACTAAATAAAAAAAATGAAACAAATTAGTACACTTAACGAAACACAATATACCGTAAACATATAGGTCAATTAAAAAATTACTTTAAAGATGGGTAAATAATTAGTGTATTCAATTTTATCCAAATTAAATTTATCCTCTTATTTACAATTAAGTAGTATATTTGATTATCAATAAGTATCATCAAATGCATATACGACGGTGTAGTTATGATCTGTGCTTTAATAATATAAATAATAAATAATAGTACTATCAAGTGATTAAGTCAACATTATAACATTTATGAGTTGACATTTGTTCATATTTATATTCAACTATATAATAATTTTTCTTAATTTTAATAAAATAATTATACAAATGGTAAAAACAATAATTATGCATCCTATCAATTTATCTTTTCTCTTTTATTACCTCTTTTCTTGTCTATAAAAAAAAATACTTCTTCCCAATTTAAGAAAATTATTCAATTGCAATAAGTTGTATTAATTTCTTAATATTCTTCTTAAAATTTCATTTGTTATAAAGTAAAAATGGCATATTTAATAAACTAAACTAGAGATAGAGTATTTTAAGAAATATTTTTTTTATAAATAAGAACGGTGATAGTATTCATATTAATTAAATATTAAATAAAATTAAAGTTGAAAAAATGGACATTCAGATTGGAATAACTGATGAATTAAATGTTCAGTCATATTTTAAAATTGGTCTAACTTCAAAGAAAAATAATTTTCAATTTTAAAAAATAAATATATATTTTTTTAAATTAAGTTTCATAAATAAAATAAAATTTGAATTTAAAATACAATAATTTGATATAAAATAATATTTTTTTATGCATTGATCCGATATAAAATCATGTGAAACCTGAATTAGATACAATAACAAAAATTAAGTAATTATTTTTTAACATGACATTCTATTTTTTTAGGCTATTTCAGTTTATTTATTGGGTTAAATCTGTTTTAACTGATTTAAATAAAGAGTAAAGTATGTTGTGTAATATGAATTAATAATTAAAAGTTGCATAATAATAACCTTAATCATGACTTTAGAAACAGAATAAGTATTTAATAAAAAATAATTAATACTTTTTTATTTTTAAAATGATAATTAAATAAAAACAAAGAAATTTAAAAAAGGATGACTGTTAAAAAAATAATTATTGAAAAATATTTACAGATATTTTTTAAGCAGTGTGGTTGATTTAAAAATTAAAATTACTGTTATAAGAGAGTTTATTGATAATTCCTAATATCTTTTACTGTGATATACGTTTAAATGGAAATTGATGTTATTTTTTAATAAGATATTTTATAATTTTTATATAATTTAAAAATTGTTGACGTTATTTATTCTCGTAAATATTTATGTTTTGTATTAATGAACAGTAAAATAAACAAAATTTATTAATGATAAATTTTATTTTTCAATATATAATATTTGTAAAATTTAAGATTGTATTAATTACTTTTTAATTTTTAAGAATCTATTCAGTAAAACAAAAAAATATAGAAAAAAGAAAAATAAAATAGAGTAAAAATATATCGGTTTGTTTGAAGAAAAAAGAACGTAAAAATCATTATTTAATTAAAATTTAATATTTATAATAATAAATATATCTGTTATAGTAAAAAAAATATTATTTTATCGTTTTTTTATTATCAAAACAAGAGTGTTATTGAAAAAATATTTTAAATTATTAAAAAATTTATTATAAATTATAAAATTTAATATTTTATTGATTTATTTATCATATATATATATATATATTAAAAAATTAACTTATTATCTTTTTGTATATAATTTAATCTTACATATAAATTATTTAAAATTAGATAAAAAATATTTAAAATTATTCATATAAAAGATTTTAATAATTACATTTATGGAGTATATAATAATTTATTTTTTATTCTTGGACAACTCCGATACTCTTATTAAACATCTTTTTTACAAATTTAATATGAATTGCTTTCATTAATATGTCACGTTAGTTTTCAATGCAGTTTAATCACAAACTTAATGAAAGCTTTTTTTCTTTATTAATTTCATAACTAATGCTTCCATACAAGACGAATATCATTAAATAGAACCCTTCATATTTAAGTGGTTCATATGTCAATGTCATTAAGTCATTAACAGTTTGATTTTTTTTTTGTCCAACAATTATTGATGTTTATTTGATGCCTAAGACACACCAATAAATTGAAGCTTAAATTTAAAGTTAGACCTAAATGTTTTAACCATGACGTGTGAAATTCATTTTAAAATTGAAACAACAATTCAAATATTAATTCCATGAAAGTAAAATAAATAGAAAAAATTTCACCATTCATATTTCATAACCTTCTTTTATGTCATTTTTATTTTGTATCATATTTTAATTTGAAAATTTATTGAACTAGGTGACTATGACGTGAAAAACTATTATTTATCATTTAGTGGTTAATTTTAGTTGTTGACGTTGAATTGGAAATTAATTTTAAAACAAATAATTAGTCCCTTAAATTCATATATATATATATATATATATTTTTTTTTTTTTCAAATAATTAAACTTTTTTATTTTATTTTTGAAGCTATTATTTTCTCAATGATAATTGTCATTACTGTTTCATGAATAAAGTTTGTTATGAAAATGTTTATTGAATGACTCAAAACATCACTAGTTTTTTGCTATTAAGATTGTTTTACTTTAATGTGTACTTTTTCATGGCTCTAATTGGTAAAATATTTTAGACAAAAATGTTACTTCCTTTGTTTAGATTAAATCACTATATTACTAGTTGGATTTCGAATTCTCATCTTCAATTTTTTTTTTTATAATAGAATCATCAAATATATATATATATATATATATATATATATATATATATATATTTAAAAATATAATAATGACATTTTTATGATACTTTCTATACTTTATTATTTATTTTAATAATAAGTAAAATTAATTATTTAATAAAATAAAATCAATTTTTATTTAACATCAGAGAACATTTCATAAATGATTACAAATTATTTTTTTATGATATTTTTTTAAACATAACAATTTTCATTAAAAATGAATTTAATACTTATAGGATATATTTCCCTTTAAATATAAATTACCGTTGTTATGATTTTTAAAGTATTTATTAAAAAATTAACAACCATACCATATAAATTATAATATAAATTTTATATTTAAATAACAGCATTAAAATTTTATATTGGAAGTGTATTATTTGTTCTCTCTTAATAAATAAGTTAAATAAAGCGTATTAAAAAGAATTGCTATGTGAAATATAGATGTAAGAAAAAAAGTTATAAAAAAAGACATGAAATTAGAAAAAAACAAAAAAGGAGACAAGGTACCACCGTCAAAACGACATTAAAATCGCAGAGTAATTAATTAATTATTAATAGCAATAATAGGAAAATAATTAATGAACACTGCAACTTGACTCCTCACCAATCACACTACGAACTCGTTTACTCTGTCTTCTTCTCTCGTCCTCGTTTTTCTCACATTTCTCAACCCTCTCTCTTTGCCACCGTCACGCTACGCCGGCGAACGGTCGCAGCCGTCCGAACTCACCGCCACTTGCTAACGTGCGCCGGCGGAGCAATGTCGCTGCGAAGATCACCGTCCCCGTGCTGCGGTGACAGTCATTTCGTGCTGCTGGTGCCTGTCCTGCTCCTTGTTCTCCATTCGCTCCTTCTGCTTCCGCACTCCTCGCTCGCTATTCGACCTACCGAGTCGGATCGGATCGACCTCGCCAACGCGACCGAGTCCAACGTCTCTCTCTCGCGGCCTCGCGAAGGAAGCTTCGCCGACATGATTGATCGCGCGCTGGAGCACGAGTTCACCGAGAACGACCAGAACGAAGGTTCTGGATTCTAGATTCTATATATTTTTGCTCTCGCCGTTCAATTTTTTATTCTCGCCTCACTCTTTCGCTTCCGCTACTGAGAAACTGAATATGCGGTTTCCGTTTGCTACACGTGCGCATTCGTAGGGTTTTGGTTCCTGATCTGTGGACATAAACCCTTGTTAAATGCCGGATTCATTCAAATTCTTGTCACCTGGACCGTATTGCTGCATTTTATGAAGTTATTTCTTCTTTTGGCCTTTGTTTTAGAGATTCGTCTGTGCTTTTATTATACCTGTGCTTGAATTTTGTTTTTTGCGACTAGGATTTTGAAACGAAGAATTTCAGAAACTGTTTTAATTAGTTTGTTTTTCGTTTACCTCTTCGTTCTTGCAGCGGCTGATCCGGGAAGCTTCAACAACAGTGTAGCAGAACAACAGGTTGGTCTTTTACCTTGAGCATTTGTTTAAAACAGTGATTAATTGTTTAATTTAAAACTAGTCGCTCGTTGGTCATTTTATACTTGTAGCAATAATAATTATAATTGATTAATAATAGTAATAATACGACATAACGATAATGCCATACTTTAGTAAGTGAAAGTCAATTACATGGGTGGATTACATGCTGCTTCCATTTGACTCAGTTACAGATTGAAGTTTTAGAGATATTACCAAATACCATTCAATTTGATCTTCTATTTGCTACTTCCTTTGTTATTAACTGATTTTTGTCATCTACACTAATCTCTCTTCCTTACCGTAATAACGGATACTGGCTTTTCTTGTGTGCTGCCACTCCCACATGTTTCTCTTGTTATCCCTTAAAGTCCAATAATAATATAACCACGATATCAACAAAAAAAGTGAGGAAATGAGAACAAATAAAAATAATGACACGGGTTCAGCTACAGTCATTATATATATAGTAAATAGATAGATGAGAGGTCTTAAATTTTAATGACACCATTCAGTTACCCTATTTTTTGGTTGTATGTTGAGTTTATAGACTTCTAGTTTTTATTTATTGATGAATCTGGCTTTGTACTTCTACCAATATGCATCCGGGTACCAGTATATTAAGTCTCCTATAAGCGTCATGATATACTGAGTTACTTTTCTTGCCTTGTTTGTGGATCAGGCTGTTCTGGAAACTGTGGCCAGAGTCACTCCAAACAAGAATGACACAAAAGATGAAAAGTACTTATTTTGTTACTGCATTCATTGACCAATATGGTGCGTTTAATGCATGATTTTGTTATAGTGTTTTTTCTAAACTTACAGGTCATTTCAACTACATCATGTATTCAATAGAGGTGAGGATACCCCTATGTTGATAGATCGAAAGGTGAGATAGCTCAATTTTGGGTTTGTTATTTTTTACATAACATTGAGTTTTGCAAATTTCAAGCGTATAAATTATGCATCTTCTTTCAGGACAACGTCTTTATCATTTCTAACTTTAAGTCCAAGTATCCGGTGCTCCAGCTAGATTTACGGTAAGTGTATTTTGATATTGTTTTTTGGCATAAAAGGGATTATATACTTACGAGAACTTTTATTATTGCCATATAGATTGATTTCAGACCTGGTAGTTGCTATTGTTTCAGCAACTTGTGGTGGCGTTGCATTTGCTTTTGCTGGACAACCGGTCTGAACATCCTTATTCTAACTTAATTATTGACAAATGCATTCTTAGGGTCTATTGTAGTATAGTTTCTGTTAATTCAAACCCTAACTCAGTATTAATTGGCAGGTGATTACTGGATATCTTCTAGCTGGCTCCATAGTTGGACCTGGTGGCTTTAACTTCATCAGTGAAATGGTGCAGGTATCTGGAAACAATAATCAATTTCTGTTGTCTCAAAATATTGTCTCTCTTTATGTTTTTGGTGGTTTATTTTTGTCTTAGTTGAATTTCATTTTCATATATATTATTTTTATCTGGCATGCACAAGCCTGAACTTGAGTTGTTAATGTAATCTTATCAAATGGTAAAGGTGTTAAAAATAAACATAAGCTCACATACTGGGAAAGTTATGCCCTATACTTCACACTGAAAATGAATGTTGCATGTTACTCAATTTCCCCAACTAAAAATAGACATTACTCTGGTTGACCAACTTGACTATCAACATGTTAGTATTACTTTATACTAACAAATATTCCTTCTAACCTTGCATCTAGTATGGTTAATTAATATTGTAGGATCCCTAAATTTTAGGAATATACGTGGTTATCTCCCTATATGGTCTCTGCCTTTCCAATGACAAAGTTCAACCATCATATGTTTAACAGCTTTGTTGTTATCTCATCCCTGTCCCAAGGATTGTCTTCATCATGTAGAGTTTGAGTCACCCTCTTGTTATTTGTGGCTTATAGAATCACAAAATCACAAATAATTTGTGATATTATTAACTTTCAACTGTCATCTTGTCAAGAGCCATCTACAACTTTAATGCCATCAAGATGATTGTCTGAATCCTTATTAAAAGCTATCCGTTGAACTTTCTTCCTTAGGGGGAATCGAAGATGCTGTTCATAACTTTCATATCATCTGATTAGAACCTGAGGGCAGGGACGGGTAGAAGCCAAGGGGAGAAGTGGCTTCCCCAAATTTTTTTAATTAATCTTATATTTATACTTATGATATAATATTATATATATATATATATATATATAAATATATATAAATTATTTATTAATATTTATTTGGCATCCCCTATGTTTTATGTCAAGCTCCACATTGCCTGTTGGTTTTATAGAGTGATCTCTTCAAGTTGATTGTGTCCTCCAATAAAGTCCATTCGGCTACTTATTTTATTCCTTATGATATACATGTACAACATATGCAGTATACAGTACTAATTAAATATGGGAACAATGTAATCAAAGGAAAATACAAATGTACGATAATCAAAGGAAAATCCTAGTTAAATGGGAAACTATTTAAATATTTAATTAAAACAAACTTTGCTGAACTACGTAGGTGGAAACAGTGGCACAGTTTGGTGTAATATTTCTTCTGTTTGCACTGGGCCTGGAGTTCTCCACAACCAAGGTTGGCTTATTTTTCTCTCTCTTATTTTGTTTATGTTTTAATTAGCTCTGGTTACCCTCTTTTTACCTATATGATTGTAGCTTCGAGTTGTTCGAGCTGTTGCTATTCTTGGAGGCCTGCTTCAGATTTTCCTATTCATGTGCATGTGTGGACTTACTGTATCGGTATGTTTTATAAATGTGATTCACCCAGTATCTGATTTTTTGTTGTTATTATTCTTTATAGATTAATATAGAAAGTCAAATCACAAACCAAACAAGTAACCCTTGGATCATTTAGTTGTCCTTTATGGACATTTGTGTCATATGAAAGATTCATATGACTTAGTTTCTACCTTGTCTATTAATTGTATAATGTATCTCTCTTGTCATTTTGAAATACAAAAGATTCTGATTTCAAATTAAATGTAAGTTTCATAATTTAATCTTAAATTTAGTATGGATGATGATTGAATGAAGGGTTTCTTCTTCAATTAGTAGATTTTGAGAAAGCAAATTCTACTTGAATTCCCCAGGGATGACAAATTTGGTAGGTTGAGAGTGCTACCACATACTTGAATAGTGGAAATAATAATGGGTATACTAACCAAGTATCAGTTTCTGTAATCTAATTTGTCTCAACTGTCTTTCTGAATATCTTTATCTTCCTTTTGGGATATGTTCTCTTCCTTATTTTACAGAATCTATGATATTTGATGCTAGCAAAATATTATTGTATAATTTGACTTCAATTGCTGGTGATGGAAGGAAAAAAAGTAGCAGCATTAAAATATATTCATTCATATTTCTAAACTTCGAAGCTTATATGGAAGTGTATAATGAGCATAATAATTTAATCAAAAAGGAAGATGTGTTCATTTTGTCTCTTTATTAATCTCCTTTATAATTTAGTTGTTGGGTGTTGCAGTTTTGATGAATGTTTATCGGGTGGAAATGTTTTATTTTAATTATCTTATACATCAGTAAACTTTGGCATATGACATTCTGAATGCTGCAGCTCTGATTGGATGCTATTTTGCAGCTATGTGGTGGTAAAGCTTCAGAAGGGGTTTTCGTTGGTGCTTTCCTTTCCATGTCTTCAACCGCTGTGGTATATCAACATAACCAATCTGATTCCATCCCATTTTTAAAATGGAGACACATCCTTTTGAACTTCTCGTTGTATAATTAGTTTTTGGTTTCTCTTGTCCACTCTTTCTTGGTTTAGGTCTTGAAGTTTTTGATGGAAAAGAACACCACTAATGCCCTTCATGGACAAGTCACAATTGGGACCCTTATTTTGCAGGTAAGTAGTCAGTGGTTGCTTGTGAATGTTACTTTTTTCTCTGCTTTGTCATGTCCCTATATTATTCTTTTCTCACTGTTTTACTGATATAGAATAGACTATAAATGCCAGTAGAATGTTCTATTAAGTCTTGTCAATTTGTTTTTGCTTAAAGGATTGTGCTGTTGGATTGCTATTTGCATTACTTCCAGTTCTGGGTGGCACATCCGGTGTTTTTCAGGGAGTGTTATCAATGACTAAGCTGTAAGTGTAGAACATCTGGAGTCTTTGGATTGAATTGATATTTTCCATTAAGTGTTCTTTTTGGTAGTTTTTCCTCTCATTATCACTCTGGGCCAAAGGAAAATTAAGATGAACTCGTGCGTTTTGTCTTTTAAAATGACATTATTATAAATAACTCCCTCTACTTTTTGATAGTAATCAAATTAGAGGTTTGACTTTGTCTTTTAATAATAATAATAATTAATCTAGAATGTTTCCTGCATTGATATTTTTCACAAAAATAATCTTAATTGTTAGTCATTTTTTTGTGTTGAATACAATAGTAAGTAAAATATATATTAGTGATGAGAGAAATTAAAACAGATAAAACATTACTTTGACTTTTCACATGCATAGCCAATAAAAGCTAAAACATTAAATATATTAATGATGAGAGAAATTAAAATAGTTAAACCTAATAAATTATTTCAAAAAATAAGAGTATGTGTAATTAGTGAGGGGTAATTTTGTAAAAACATAAATTTAAGACAATTTAATGCTACTACTAAATTTCTAATTTCCATAATCTAGTGAATTAGTTAATTGAGCCTAATAAAAACTATCAAAGGGAGCAAGTTTTTCATGAAATTTATACTTAAATTTAAATTATGTCCAATTAAAATTATGCTTATTGCTTAGCTTATGCATTGCATAATTTAAGTTAGATGAAAAGAATAGTAAAAAAGTGGAATCTAGAAAAAGAAAATAAAGGAAAAGGGAAAATACATGTCAAATTGTGCTCAAACTAGAAAGACCACAAGTTGATGTTCTAGAGAAGGACACACGGAAGTATGTATTAATGTATTTATTGGCGGATCAACTAGAAAGACCACAAGTTGATGTTCTAGAGAAGGACACACAAAAGTATATATTAATGTATTCATTGGCGGATCTTTTTTTTGCCTTTCTTTGTTTCATCATCTTTCGATACAAGCAAATTCATAGTAGATTTAAGCTCCTTCAACTTATGCAGTTTTTTTAGTTCAACTTGAAGGTTCTCTTGTCCATGATCATGATTTTCGAGCTCTTCGTCCTTGTGCTTGTGACCCTTGTCTGTGGTCTTCAAGAGTTTTTCAGTCTTCTCCTTCTCAAGCGCATATACTGCAACAGTTTTTTCTCGAAAAATTATTGTTTCTAGGAGGAGTCTTGTTTCAACAAGGATGAAATTAGTATTGTCGAGGACTTCGAAAGTTTCCCAACAATAATGTTGGCCTAGTTTGTTAATGGAGTTTTCTCCTTCAGGGCACTTCAACAACTCAAATCTGCTTGTTCTCTTTAAATTCTTTCAAATAATTCCAAATTTCTTTGAGTGACTCTAGGATCATGATTCTAGTAAGAGGATCATTTGTGAAACATTAACAAATAAACATGACTTCATTTTTACTTTCCTTGTTTTTCTTTCTTCCTAAATTTTCATTTGAGTCATTGTGGGATTTTCAGGTAGCGGATCAACAATGTAATCCTCTTTCATGACTTCCCATAATCTAGTCTTCTAAGATAAGATACGTTGTAACTTTTGTCATTGAAAAATAGAATGACAATTTGTGAGAAATTTCCTTCTCTTTCTATTCTACAGGTATAGTAAGAATCAAAGCTATTATACCACTCTTGGGATTTTAGGGTTTTGAATATGTATTTTGATATGAGATATATGATATAGTAGAGCTTCTCTCATAATATTTTATTTATGTACTCTCTTTCTCTCTTTATATATATAGGAAAAATATAAAAAAAAATCAAATATTAACAATATTTTAGTTGTAACTATCTAAATCAAAATAATAACGTAATATATTTTTCTCTTATTCTAAACAATAATAAAAATCTCTTAAATATGTAATTTAAATAAAAAGATAATAAAACATATATTCTCAATATAGATAATGTGAGACTGTCCCAAACAATCCCTTAACATATGTACCAAACCAGCTTAACCTACCAAAATAGGCTAGGTTAGATTTCAACTTGATACTAATTGGCCTTAATGTCTAATAGGATTCGATTGTGGCCCGGCCCACTTAGCCTCTGCCATGGGACAATTGATGTTACCTGCAACAATCTCTCCCTCAGCAATTGTCCTATAAGGAATCCCACTCTTGGATTGTGACTCGGCCCACCTGGCCTCTACCACAGGACAATTGTGCAACCTGTAACAAACTCGTGACCTTGGCTCTGATACCAATTATTTGGGTCTTTCCTGTAATTTAAATAAAAAGATAATAAAACATATATTCTCAATATAGATAATGTGAGACTGTCCCAAACAATCCCTTAACATATGTACCAAACCAGCTGAACCTACCAGAATAGGCTAGGTTAGATTTCAACTTGATACTAATTGGCCTTAATGTCTAATAGGATTCGATTGTGGCCCGGCCCACTTAGCCTCTGCCTTGGGACACTTGATGCTACTTGCAACAATCTCCCCCTTAACAATTGTCCTACAAGGAATCCCACTCTTGGATTGTGACTCGGCCCACCCGATGCCATGGGACAATTGTGCAACCCACAACAAACTCGTGACTTTGGCTCTGATATCAATTGTTTGGGTCTTTCGAGGAGGATTCACAGGGGAGAAACACACCAATGAGACAATGAGCCTAACCCACATAAGGATTGACACCCCTCTCAACCCAAAATCTTAAGGCATTAGGTTATGGGTTATATTTCCTTATATGTTACTCAACTTTTTCATTCTTACTTAATGTGGAACTTAACTCATACTTGTATTTTCTATCAATCTCCCCTCTCAAGTGTGAATTCCTCGTCGAAAGACCCTAACAAAAGTCTTTGTTGGTTGTCTCAATTTTCAAGGTGCGGCTTATATATCTATTGGGTGACTTCACATATCACCAATTGGTATTAAGTTAAAATCTGACAAATAAATGTATACATAATTCCAAAATCTGGTTTGGAAAGTAAGGATTGCACTAGTCTTGTTAGTTACATTTAAGTAGTTGATGTGGGAAGGGACACCACCCTTGAGCCTGCAAGTGAAGCAGCCTCCAAAGGGGCTCTGCAATTATGGGAGACCTCAATTAAGGCAATTTTCCTAAAGGTACTTAAGCTGTCATTTTTAAAATAAAAAATGGCATGAAGGTTGTTCTTACATACATGTAATAATAATAGTGATATGTGCTACATTAGGCACATACATAATAAAGATGAATATAAACTATATGATATCTACAAAATGAACTGATACTAATACTTTGCTATACAAAGTATTGTTGAATGAGAAAATGCCAAAAAACAATATAACCTATGCTATTTGAGAGTGCTTGATCTCTCCCAACCATTTCCTCTGTATTCACTTCTGGTCCATCCTCTCTCTCTATCTGAATAATCCAGACCCTAGTTCTCTCTTTGCTTGTGTCCATATTGTTAGTTGGTTATTTTCCTAAACATGGTAAGGGTGAAAATTTACCCATTTATCTTCTAACCAATCATCCAATATATCCATGTATACATCTAACCAATCCATCCTATATTAAAAGTATAAAATTAATGGATTAGTTGGACTAGATTACCATTTGTTATTAGATGGATAACTATCTATCCAACTTGTTTCTATAATATATTGGGTCAAGGTGTGTAGACTTCATTGATTGAGCATGTCTGTTTAAGGGAAGAGTTTTGGACTCTGGTGTTTTGGCACAAGAATGTGCGCAAATATTGAACTTTATTTTAAAATTATTATATATATATATATATATATATATATAATATACTTTAAATGGATGAGTTATTCATCCATCAGAAAGGGTTAATGGTTGAGTTTAATGTTTTTGTTATTAAATTAGTCATAGATAGATTGATGTTTTAATCTAATTTTAATGGGTCATAAAAATGGTTGAACAGTTTATTTTTAACCCATCCACTATAATTCCATTCTAAATTTATTCCAATCCATATATCATATGTGACACCTCTAAAACGTAGTTATCATGATTGATACTGAGTTTTGATTGTCTTGTCTCCTTCGTAGTCTATTTCTCCCATAACACTTTTAGGCTCCGTAGCACTGGCACTGGTGATTTGGCGACCTTTTAGAGTCGTTTTTCCATAAAAATCTCTGAATGTTGTTAATTTTTATTTTACAGCTTAGCCCTTTGTGTTTTGCATTCAAATGGAAGATTTTATTTCGCCTATAACCTAGAGCTTTATGCAGCATAAGCATAACGTTGTACACCTTTCCTAATCCAGGCTGGTTACATTGATTGCATTCCTCTCTGTTCTGACTATATTGTCTCGCACTTGCCTTCCATGGTTGCTTAAACTGATGATAAGCCTCTCATCGCAGGTTCGTACTACTCTTTAATAATAAAATCTTACCTGTGGAAGTGGTTATTTCTTTTTTCCTTCTCAACAATATTGGCAGGAATATGTGGAATCAAATTTGTAACTTGTTTATTTATTTCCATCTATTGGCTAATTAGCTTTACACTTTTGTCTGACTGTCTTAGTGGTTGAATGATAATTGATAGATAACTTGTTTTTGCAGACAAATGAACTCTATCAATTAGCTTCTGTTGCATTCTGCTTGCTCGTAGCCTGGGTTTGTTCTCTTCCAAATTTCTGTGTTTCTATTTGAAATGCTTTGTTATTCATTTGTTTTCAGAAGCAGAAAAATACATATAATGTTAGTTATGGATTCATTATTATTGTTTCCGATTATTTGATTAATAGAATTAGGCTAGTAACTGTATATATTAAAATTGTCTTTTTAGCTATACAAATTAGGAATTACATTTATTGTCATTAAGGGCTGTGATTGAGAGTATTATTTATAGAAAGAGTATGATGAAAGCAGCCAGAATTCTTGACATATAAATACTTGACATTAAAGGCTGTACTTTACCATATTTTCATAGGTTATATGATATAATTGCAGTTTTTAAGTTAAACATATAAGGTATTTAAGACAACTAATTAGAGAAAGAGATGAAGTGGGTGCAGTTGTAAGGATTCAAGGGAGGAGAAGAGATGGAGAAAGCATAAAAACAACAACAAACACAAAGCTAGACTGACCCAAACCAATACAGTAAAATAAAGAGAAGTGGGGTGAGCAAAGGGAGGTGACACGCCACTTGGGGTATGGACCAACTCAAGATGAGTGATGGTTACTGCCACTTGAACTAAGGTTCAAGATAAGACTCAAGAAAAGAAAAACATTAAAGAGTGTAGCTCTCAAATTTCCATTCAATTTCTAACCATTTAAAAGAGGTGGGGAGCTTTCTATTTATAGGCATGGGTGAGGGATCTATAGGGAATTACATTAGGGATCTAGAAGCACATGTTGTCCACGGGTGAGGGACCTATAGGGAATTACATTAGGGATCTAGAAGCACATGTTGTCCTAATTTTAACATAGAAGGGGGTGTCCCCTTGCCTTGCCGTCCCAGGTTGTGCCCTTTTTCATCTAGAAGGTTAATGGTTGACCTTTGCTTCCCTCATGGGTTGTCCATCTTTCAAAGACTTGGGTTCAAAACTCCTTTCCTCCAAAAAAGGTGGTGGGCTTCAAAAGAAAGATGTCCTTTAGTAATCTTACAAAAACAAGATTTAGATATGAGTCTAGGAAATTAAAGAGAAAGAAAATACTAAGTAAATTAGGGGATAAGGGTGGAGCGAGTGCTTCCCTTCTAGTCATGCTTCTAGTGATTTTCTTAGGAATGGTCTCTCCTGTTGGGATATTCAAGTATGAGTCTAAGTCCCACATTGAGTAAGAATGAGAAAGTTGAGCAACATATAAGGAGGAAAGACCCATAACCTAATGCCTTAAGCTTTTGGGTTGAAGGTAGTGTCAATCCCTTGTGTGGGTTGGGTTCATGTCTCATTAGTGTTGTCTCTTTCCAAAAACAGTATATGAAAGGACCGGTTGAGGGGGAGATTGTTAGGAAATCCAAGTGTGAGTCTAAGTTCCACATTGTGTAAGAATAAGGAAGTCCGGTTGAGGGGGAGATTGTTTGGAAATCCAAGTGTGAGTCTAAGTTCCACATTGTGTAAGAATAAGGAAGTTGAGTAACATATAAGGAGGAAAGACCCATAACCTAATGTCTTAAGGTTTTGGGTGAAGGTAGTATCAATCCCTTACGTGGGTTGGCTCATATCTCATTGATGATGTTTGGTACATGAAAGGGTCACTAGTGAGCTCGAAGGGATGATATGAAGGGACTCATACTTAAGAGAGAGATTGTTGAGAAATCCAAGTATTAGCATAGAAATATTCTCACTTTGGCAAAAATCATTTGTTTCCTCTTTTCTCAATTCAACAATCATAAATATAAAAATTTAGGGTTTAGGGTTTTCTTGGGCTTGACTTTGTTTATAATAAAAAGAAACCCAAGAGAATTAAAACTAATCAAATATTAAACTAATGGTCTTGGGTTCAAATCCAAACTCCACCAAAAAAAAATTATTTTTATTTTAACTCTCCAAGCCCCATTATGCATGTAACGAGCTTAGCTTCCTCAGTAAGTTGGGTCTTTGACTGTTGGGCCTCCCATAAAAGAGTCACCTTCTGTTGTAAAACTTCTTGGGTCTTTCTAATCCTTCCTCTAGTCATTGGTCCAATTAAGTCTTCAATTAGATCTTCATCTTTCTTCTCATGGCCTTAGCTTTTATGGCCATATCAGAGTCTAAGTCCCGCATTGAGTAAGACTGAGAAAATTGAGGAACATATAAAGAAGAAAGATCCATAACCTAATGCTTTAAGATTTTGGGTTCAAGGTGGTGTCAATTCCTTATTTGGGTTGGACTCATGTCTCATTGGTGTTGTTTGGGAGTTATCAGTATGTAACAAGTACTACATAAAGATCTTTCTGCCCACCGATTAATGTTGATTCAGTGAAGGTATCACAAAAGGATTTAGCTGCCTTGTTTGATCCTAGGAATTAGATAAGCCAAAAGGAATATTTGAATATGTAGAAAATTAATTTAGTAAGGCACTGATGAAATAGTCATTTTAGGAAAAGATTATCCTCTTGTCTGAGCAGAAACTTTCTTCCTCATCGTGTTTGTTTGTGTCTTTTTTTTTTCCCTTGCTTCAACATTTAGGATTCAAACTTCTCCTTTGCTTGAATTATGCATCTAGATATCTTTTAAATGTCCTCAGATTATATATGCTTGTTCTGTTGATTGATCACCTTACTGTCACTTTCGCACAATCTGTTTAATCTCATTGCTTTTATATTTGCAGTGTAGTGATAAGCTGGGACTAAGTCTAGAACTAGGTTCCTTTGCCGCTGGAGTGATGATTGCAACCACTGATCTGGCTCAACATACACTAGAGCAAGTAAGACTACGTACGAAATCTGGAAAATATATTCATGGCATATTTGTATAATATCCTTCTTAACAATCTGTTTCCTATTTGTCAATCAACATTGACAAATTTGCTGATTTTTTCATGAACCAATACTCTGAACTAGAAGTCTCTGATGTTTGGTGATAAGAGATAGTTTTATGGAAGAAGCTTGACCTCTTGTTTATTTATTTTGCAGATTGAACCTATTCGCAATCTTTTTGCTGCTCTTTTCCTTGCCAGCATTGGAATGCTGATTCATGTTCATTTTCTCTGGAACCATGTTGATATTTTGGTAGCATCTGTAATATTGGTGATTGTTATAAAAACAATCATAATTGCATCTGTTGTTAAAGGATTTGGTTACAACAACAAGACTTCAATACTTGTAAGATTTGTTTCAGAATCTGTTGGTTAGATACAATTTTTTCACCCCCTTACTGATTGAGGTGCATGAAATCATGTATGTGTAGGTTGGAATGTCTATGGCACAGATAGGAGAATTCGCTTTTGTTCTTTTAAGTCGTGCTTCAAACCTTCATCTGGTTGAGGTTAGTGACAAAAGGGATTTATCTATGGTACTTTACTGTTCAATTGTTTAAAGATAAAAATGAGAATTATATTGCTAAAGTCGTTAATCTTAGACTTGGTGATAGGGCTAGACTAGAAGTGAATCAAGCAACTAATGAGCCTGCTTATTTCTCCGTTCCTTTAACTATTGTGATGAAACTTCTGGCAAATGAATCTAACTTAAGCTTTCACTAGTTTGTTTCATTCATTACCTGAAAAGTCAACTTGATATAAATATATAAACACAATTTAAATAATATAAAAAATATTATTATACTTAATTTAATAAATATTAGCATTTAATATATTCTGGGCTTGAGCTAAGAATATTCAATTAAAAATTAATACAAAGCTCCATATGATTCCTTAAGCTTGTGAGCTTTAGGTGAATTAAGGAAGTAGGCTCAATTTCTTACTGAACCAAGCTTGAGCTGGGACTATTTCAGTTTAACTCGGCTCAATTCATTTCCACTCCTACTTGGTGATATAACTTGAAAGTTAAAGCTTAGGTTTGAAAATCTTACTGGTTATTATGGATTCTAATATCTTATTATTTTCAGGGTAAGTTATATCTGCTGCTTCTCGGGACCACAGCTCTTAGTCTGGTATGAAATTGTTTTCATTTGTTTGAATTAACAGTTACTAGCCATAAACTGACCCACGGTCTTCATAGCTTTAGTTTTTTTTTTTTTTTTATCCATAATGAATTTTCAAGAACTAAATCTATACGAACTTTATTCTGAATGAAATTTCTGACCTTTCCCTTTGGCGTATACTTTTGACGCATTTGTATGTAGATACTCTCTATCTTGATGAAAGATAAGCAGCCTTAATTACCTTTTGTATCATTTTTTTGTCCTGTTCTCCCATATGATAGTGCAGGTAGTGCTTATGTAAAATGCTTCAGGTTACTTGCTGGCATAAACACAATGGTTTTGCCAGAACACAAATTTACTAATAACACAAAATATGAATGCTCTTTTATCCAATACAGAAAATTAAAGTTAACCAAACTCTGGGCTAACTTTTCTAGGATGTCCTAAGTCAAGTCTATCTGTAAAAAACTTCAAATCTAAGGATTGTAAATTTGCAACTAGTTTCCATGATTTAGAGTTAGTGGCACAACACTATTACTATCATTATGAAGTAATAAAGAATAGCCCCATTGATAATTTCTTGGCCCATTTCTGCAGGTTACAACTCCTTTACTTTTCAAGCTAATCCCTGCTGTAGTGCATCTTGGCGTGCTATTGAGATGGTTCTCTCCTGACAATTCAGTGGAGGTAATCACCTGTCAGTCTTGGAATTGTTCGACTTCTGTTTGTCTGGAAGTCTATATACTTGTTTTCTTCTGAACTTTTATCTTTGTTGTCTGATTGCAGATAGGATATAAGCTAGATAACCTCCGGTCGGAGAGTGGGAAGCAGATAGGATTTAAGCTAGATAACTTCCGTTCAGAGAGTGGTAAGCAGCGGGTAATTTTGATGGACCAAGAATCACATGACTCTTAATCACTCTGCACAAAGGGATTTCCATTTTTGGATGACCAGAGTTTTGACAAGGTTTTCCAAGTGTTGTTGAAAAAAATTTAATCTAACTGCGATTTGACTTCAACGATGGATACTTGCATACCAAACTAGCCTAATACTAAGTTACTAACCAAGGCAACTCATCTGAACCCCAAAAATGGAAAGAACAGGGGAGAGGAACGATAAAAGATTGAAAGAAAACTGACAAGACTTACAGATGAAGGTACGTGGAAGATATTCTTTCCAGAACTCCAATTTACATGATTTTTTTTTTTTTTAAGTTTTGGCAGGAAGTGCTTATAAATTGTAAGATATGGTTTGTAATTTGAATAGCCACTGTCCTATTTCTGTAAGCCTAGTTTTAATGTATCAAAAGTTTCCTTCTATGCCATCAGTTGTAGGGCTGGCCTTTGTATATCTTTTAGGCAAGTTCGCATTTGTGTTTTGGAAAAATCAATTGATACGTGTAAGTGTGAATAAATTATAATATATGTCATGTTTCAACTTTTCTATTGGTTATGTGATTGTGCTGCTTCTCTATCTAATTAATCCCTTCCTATAATCATTCCGTTTATCTAGAAATAATGCCCATGGTTTTGTTTGCGAACTGATTTTAATTTGGAAGTTGAAATCTTTGTCCAAAGCAAGCATTATTTAAATTGAGATTGTATACTTTGGTCTAGATATTTGGGGGTTATACTTGTATGTATAAAATACATTAGATTCAACATCAATAGTTTGAACAGTGTGTAAGGAATGTGTGGGTTGTGCTGCACAGAACGATTGGTTAAAAACAAAGGGAAATGAGCAGGTGTTGGAGGCGAGCGCCCCAAAGCTACAGACGGAAGAGCTCGGTGCATAACATTTACGCTTTGAATTCTTTAATACCACCGAATGTCTTGCAAGGTGCGAAATTCTTTTACTTTAATTAGAGGTCTCAAGTTTCAGTCATGGGGTTGTGTTAAAATACCAGAGTTTGGTCATATCTATTTTATTCAGGCAATATCTTCTTGTTGGGTATGGGGAAAAGAAATCTACTGTGAACACACGTACGCAAAAGAAACAAAGATAGAAAAATAATATAGAAATTAACGTGGTTGGTATTTTTTGCCTGCATCTTCAACACACTTAATAGTTCTTCATTTCTCATCTTGTAATTTTTATAAAGACAAAATTACAAATTTACTCATACAATTTTTGCACGAAAAAATTATAAATCCTCTCATGACATACAACAATCCAAGTTTCCAATACATCATTAGACTAATATTGTTATAATGAGTGGATCCAAATTATTACCCTTTATTTATAGTAGTAGTCTACCACTCTCTTTTTCAAACTACCTGATGTGAGACTTTAGAGAATATTCACACATTAGTACAAATTTCTTTACTAAAATATACGTCTGATCTAAAATTTATGAATTCTTATATGTTTATAAGTGAACATTATATTTAGGAGGCACTTGGAAGAATTTATTTAAATTAGAGGAAAATGTATTTTTTATATATTTAAAATTTTCAAAATTTCAATTCTTATATCTAATTTAATTTTGTGATAAGTGATTTAAATTATATAATTGATCCATATTAAATTAAACTCGTGTTAGACTATTTTTTATCAATGTTTAATATTATATATACATATTATTTTAATGCATTAGAATAATGATGTATATTTTGGTAAGCGAATCAATTGTTACAAAAGTAACTACATTATCACTTTTAGGGATTGAATATTTGCTGAATACTATATCATTAATTTTACTTAAGTTTGAGTAATCAAAGTTTGAATAATCAAAGAGCAAAAGAATAACAATAGAAAAATTATTTTTCTTTGCAATAAAATATATGTTAGAGGATTAATTTCATATTCCTTCTTACAAATTCTTGGTCTATTTAATTTATGCAAGAATTAAATTTACCCATGGGAGTTAAAAGTGTTATTTACTTCCTAATCCCTTAGGTAAGAGAAATTATTCATTGAACTTTTAATTTTCCAATTTCTTGGAATAAGAAAAATTCATTGAAACTTGAATAATTAATAATCTTTTCCACAAAAACTAGTTAAGTTTACATAATTTTTCAATTAAACAAAAATCCAACTTATCTCATCTAATAACATAAACAAGGTCAATTTTTTCAAATATAACTCGCTTAAAATTGAACATAAAAAACCATAGATAAGATACTAAAGTAAATAAAATTACATTGCATCAAATTAAATAGATTTATAATCTGTCTTACAGAATATTACATCAACTCTCTAACAAAAGAAAAGTTTAGCCTTCCATACAGAAATTAAAACCCTAAAAATTGTTCCTCTCCCACTGTCCTTCTTGCCTTCTCTCCTCTCTACACATAACGTAATTCTCTTCATTTTTTAACTCCCTCCCTCTTTCCACGTCAGCCCTTTTCCTTCTTCTTTTTTCTAACTACTCCCTTCTTTTTCCTTTTCAGCCCAAGCCCAATAGTAAAAAGGAAATTCCACTGTCAGCTTTTGAATGACATCAGTCATACAAGCCTCACAAAATTTGTTCTAAATGCATCTGTTTCTCAACAAAATAAAGAAACTACACGAAAAGTTAAATGCAACGGTAATGCATGAAAACATTGTTCAAATACTACAAGAATGCATGCAATTGACCTAATTTAATTTATAAATGTGAGATGAAATAAACATGCATCAAAATCTTCCATACTTAGACCTTTGCTTGTCCTCAAGCAAGGAAATTTCAATGAACAGACGATGATGTGACTACATGGATGCATATTATCATAACTCAAGTTCCAGTTCCCACAGAAATAATTTCAGAGCACACCTCTCATCCTTTTTCCAGCTTGATTCCTACTCACTTGAATTGTCCATATATTCAATTACGTGTAACCAAAGAATTACAAGACATATCATCACTTGAGCACTATGGGTCAGTGTTTAAAATTAATCCTCACAGTGTTTCTCTCCAGGTGAATATTTCTCTCAAGCACACATCATTTCTATGAACATAAGCATTGATATCTTCCTTCCATTATCACACTTGAAAGAAAAATAGAGGATCACAAGGGCTTGATATGGTTGTAATGAGGCTTGGCTAGTGAAGAAATACATGGTTTTTCTGGATGCACAAAATTCCAAACTCCAAAGAGCAAATTGAAAATGAGAAAAAAAAAATATTTGAACCATTGAACCCTGACTCCTTTCTTTCTTTTGATAACTTCATCCACATCTATTACTCCCAATTTCTTCCTTTCAAAACTCTACTTTTCCCTGTAATTTATATTGAGGAACCCCTCTTTTTCAATTTTTTTTAAATAATATGGTATTAGAGAACCTATTTGAGTAGCTTCTTGAGTACTTAAGAGAGGTGACTCCTGTGTTTTGATGCACCAAATTTTATTTTTTCCCTTCCCTAAATGAGTTTCACTTTCCTAATTTTTAACCCACTTTATTTTCAATGTGCTCTTTTGGTTTGGTCTAGGTGGGAATTTGATAAATTGTAAGGGTTTCAGGGTCAGAAAAAAGTGTATATAAAGCTCAAAAGGGTTTATCAAGGGAAATATTTTGCAACCTGGTTATTAATGTAGCTCTAGGCTCACAGGGCTTTTTAATATAAACAAAAATTTCCTTGACCTTTTCAAATTTTTCATGCAAAAGCAATTGTTTCAAGAATTAATCTATGCAAACACATATGTTATGATGGTGTCTCTCAATAGTGTGGATATAAATATTTGGTGCTCTCACTCACTGGTTTTTCTGAAAGCTTAAGTTGAAATAATGTTTAAAAATTCTAGGATCATACATAATTGACAGAGTGCAACCACACAATGAGTTTAGCAGTTTATTGACTCTGAAGTGTGCGATTTAGAACTTGAGGTTAAGACAAACTGAGGTAAAAATGAACATGTAATGCTACATGGTATATGCCATGCAAAAACAAAAGGAAAATTGCAATTACAAAAACAACAAAAAAGAAAAAAACTATTGAAACAGTTAACTAAAAAAAACTATAAAGATAGTAAATCTCCCAGGCTTAAATGTTTTCATGGTCCTCATTGGAAACGTTAGAGACATATAAGCTAAGAAAAACTCACAGTTTTAGCACGGACGCATGCAAAGTACGGACAAAGTTTCTTCCAACAATTGTTCGACCTTGAATTGGTGTTCTGCTTGTTCTTCTCGGAATTGTTGGAACTCCTCATAATTTAGTCTGTTGGGCCTGGAGGCGATCAATGGCCTCCTGAAGCTGGGCTAGCTCGTTTGCTCTAGGCTGGTTAGGAGGGTTAGTGAAAGCTGGGAAGGTGCGATTAGGATTGGCATTGCAGTCTTCCACCGAAAAAGTCCATTTATCGAGCTCTCGGATAGTGGTGAATTTGGGGTTAGGCAGAGGTTGCGCTGGCATGTTCAGTTCGTCGCTCATAACCAGACAATATTGACGTTCCCATTTAGTGATTACCCCACTGGTGAGTAGCAATTCCAAGTCAATCCGCGAAGTTCCCAAAATGGGATTGTCTCCTTCCAGGGGATGTTAAAATATAATGCAATTGCGGTGATCAGGCCCTTGATAGTTGTATTCCTAGAAGTCTTTTCCACTCGAAGAAGTTGTCTGATGAGTCACGATCTAATGTTTAGGTTGACGACATGTAATTAAACACAATATTTAATACTATTTGCGCTTAATTATAAATAATTAAACATAATATTTAATATTACTTCCGCGTAATTGTAAATTATACATAAATTATAATTTAGTGTTAAATCATCTATCTTTAAGATGATAAAAGTTAATAAAGTATATTATCTATCTAGATTTAATATATAGTCTAAAACATTTATGTCCATATATATATATATATATATATATATATATATATATATATATATATATATATATATATATATATATATATATATATATATATATATATATATATATATATATACACGCCTTTATATTTAAGCATTTAACAAAATTCTAACTCACACGACTTTTGTGACACGAAGATAAGAAGTTCGAGAATGATTTTGTATATAAACTTATATATTTATATCCATAAACTTATATAGTAATATTTTGATATGATATTTTCTTATTATAAATAATTTATATTAAATACTTGTATGAATTATATACAATTAATATATTTTAATAATAAAAATTTCTAGAATGGTTATATTATCAAGGTTCGGAGTTTTAAAACTAAAATTTTATAAAAAAAAAAATAGTCTAGGAAATGTAAAAAAAGAAATGTGATTTTTTTATGTATCTAAAATTATAATGATAAATATTATTATTATTATTATTATTATTATTATTATTATTATTATTATTTACATTGGTTATTATTTTCCTGTATATTGTATGTATTATTAAACTAATGTAAAATATTGTTTTTTTTTTAAATTATCTGATGGGCTAATATTTTTCTGGTTGCAGTGAGTTAGGCCCCAATTCGGTCTAAATTTTAAGTACTTTCTTCGTGCAATCCCATATCTTCGCACTGAAAGTAAAATAACTAAAATGTTGGTTTTAATAATTTTTGTTTCAAATTCTAACACCATCTTCTATTTTTCTTTTTTTAGCAAAACTTTTGCACTTTCATACACACACACACACACACATATATATATAGATTTGGTTTCTTATGGTATTATATTTATTTAAGATAAATGTAAATAATCCTTAATATTATATATTTATTACAAAACAAAAAAATTTAAAAATATATTTTGTAAAGTAGATTCCTGGATATATTTTTGAAAATGGATTCCACAATCCACTTTTCAGAACATGTTTCTGGAAACAAAAAATAGAATTATATTCTCAATCCTTGGAACATATTTTCTGAAAAAAAATCTTGTTGCACGAGTGTTATTGTGGTGAAAAATTAATATAAATTAAAAATATTTAAAGATTCTTACTTGTTTCTAACAATTCTTGAAATACCAGGAGAAAAAGAGAATAAAAATGATTTAATAAATTTTAAAAATCAGACAATTCAAAAGTTTAAAAATCATAAATAAATTATTACGAAGATGAAAATAAATATAAGGATAAAATAAAATTTAATCTAATTATAAATTTACAAGAAGAAACCACCGAGGTGTGGAGGGAAGTGTCAAATTTAATTAATCTTGTTCATATTTTTTTACGGCGTTAATTGAATTTTGATGTCCATTCATATTTGTATTGAAAAAAAAATTCATATGTAAACGGGTAACAAAAAGCGGGCCTGGACCTCTTAGTTTTGATGGGTTAGAAATGCCGAAAACAGAAGTGGTGGCATAAGAATATTTTTATTTTTTCTCAATTGTACATTTTCTAACATATTTTGCCTCCAAAATATTTTTTATGTGCATTTAATTTTAACTCCTTAAAATTTGTCCTTTTGTTGTGTACTGGTTAAATTTAGAACTTTTTCCAACTTTTAATTATAACTAAACATTATGAAAACTTAATAAATTGAGCATCATTTAGCATATTCAGGACTTATTTACTTATTATTTTTAAAATTAATTTTCAAATTTTTATTTTAAAACTAAAATTTCATTTGATAATTATTTTCTTAAAACTGTTTTTAAAAATTACTCTTACCTTTAAATTTAAAAAAAAACTAAAAAATTAAAATTAATACAAATTATTTTTAATTTTAATTTCCTACTTTTATAAAATTTAGTTTCCAACTTCGTTTTCGTCAATATAATTCTAAAAAAAATTTCAAACAGAATTAACAAATATATTCTTTTAACCCATTTAAAATTTTTCTTAAAATTTGACTATTAAAATTATTTTAAAAAAATAACAAAATAAATTATTTGAATTGATTATGTTAAGATTTTAGGTGGAAGAGTTATGTGTTAATTGGAGATTGCTAGTAAATATTTCTTCATCTTTTCTTCTTTTATAATCGTTCAACGTTGTGTTTAATATATATATATATATATATATATATATATATATATATATATATATATAATAATTTAATAATGAATGGAGATAATAATTGACAGTTACAACATCTATTTTTTTAATTTTTAAAATAAGTGTTGTTGTAGATGGTGTTTCCTGTTTCGTGTCCTGTGTGCTGAGTGGTAAGTGGTAACCCTAAACACAGATCCATGTGAAGCATTGGGACCAACAAAAAAGGTTGCTTCACAACGTGGAAATTCCACCCATGCCAAATCGGGAACCTTCAATCATCTTTCATACTATTTTCTAGATTCTCCTTGTGCAAATGGAGGAAGCAAATTAAGAATTCTACATAATCAACACATTATTATTATTTAACCTACATATTTATGTTACTAAACCTAAAACAGTACTAGCTAGCAACATTTTTTACATGAAACAATAGACCTATGCAAACAAAAACATGCACAAGTGAGTCCAACGAGGGTTTTGTTTTGGTCGTAATATTGGCAGTAATGAGACAGCATTGTCAGAGCGTGTTGTTTGAAGTTGAATCTTGAGAGTGCAGTGCAGCATAGAATAGCTAGCTTTTCTTGAACTTCTCAACACATTAATTGACCTCATTATGTAAAAAATTTAGTATTTTAATGTGTATAGTTTCGTATTACTAATATTTCGGTTTCATCGTATTTATCGGATTTTGATTATATTATTTATTATAATTTTATTTTTGAAATATTTTTTAATAAATTAATTATAAAAAATTATTATTTACCTCAATTATTAAATGATATAAAATTTATGGGTGTACTGAAATATATTTTATGTTTATTATAATATTTATTAGAATTATTTGTTTTTTAATTTTAGTTGATCACAACTTAAAAAAAAACTCTAATTGATTTGTATAATGACGTGTCATAATAGAATTAATACTTCTCCCAGTTTTATTTATATTATCTAAACTAAAAGTAATATTTATTTTTTATATGATTCCACTCATATGGATTAAGAAACAGTTATAGTTAAAGTGGAAAAGAAAATTGAAGTTATAAGTAATAAGAGAGAGAAAAGGATTAATTGTAAGGAGGTAGAGAAAGGCAATAGAAATTGAATGATAGATTGTGTGGTTTTGAAGCAATTTAATTTATATTTCTGAAACTTTGCATGGAAGAAAGTTCAAAACTTGAACAACCATCTCAAACTATTACTGTAATTTGTATGAACAGAGAACCCAAATAAACGAAAAAGATGGATAAGAGGCGGAGAATCACGCGGATAAGAGTTTGTTAGACTTCTCACATGATTTCTCACCCTTTTCCACTATTCCCACTATTCCCCTCAAAATCACATTTCTCACATGAATTAAAATTGGTAAATCATTAATAAATATTTTTCTAAATTACTTAATATTATTTATTATTTTTATGAATAATTTATATATAGATACATTTTTTTTAAAATGAGAGATTCTCAAAAGTTCACTTAAATCATTATATACTCACAAATTTAAAGAACATTTAAAAAGATACTATTACATAAATTTTACATCAAACACAAAATTTAAAATTGTATATTATTATAAATAGGATGGTGAAAGTGAACCAGTTCATCACATATTATATTAAAAATGCGTTAGCTTAATTTAATTATTTTTTGTTAATTTAATTTATAATCTAATTTAATCAATTGATTCATTTAAATGTGTAATTTTTTTAATCATTAAAATAAGTAAAATAGGTGATTAATTTAATACAATTTTTGTTTTTATAAATTTACACTAATACATAAATAAAAAGATTAAAATATTAAAAAAGAAAACAAAATCAATCCACCATTAATTCAACTCAAAATTTATTTAATAAATTAAATGAATGAGATTCACTTTAAATTATTATTATAAAATTTTAAATTTTTTAGCTCAATTCAATTTCAATTTCAATTTCAATTTATGATGATCCAAGTTGATTTATCAATTATCACTGGTATTAACATTTAAGTATAAAATATGATTTTTATATTATTAATATTTTAGTAATAGAAAATATAGTTGTCAAAATTGATTTAATTAGAGTTAGTCTATTTTAGAATTGAAATCAAAAGTTTTCTGGAAAGTTGTGAAATAAATTATAGAAAGAGAAATTACTAGACGAAGAAGTTAAGCTTAAGCTCAAGTCGGTTTATTTTTCTAGAGCAAGCAAAAAATTTTACAATATGGTTCAATTCTCCACGGGTGGGTTAGGTGATTCACTAATCCATATATTTTTTTATTTTTTAAATGATATATATATATATATATATATATATATATATATATAAATAATTGTATTATAAAATATCAACACTATTGTAGTTTTTAAATAAAGATTCATTAATCCAATCATTTATGTTATGATATAAATTTTTATCTTTGAAAGTGATACAGTGGATACGGTAATGTAATGATGCGGTGGACAAATGAATAAATAAGTGACCCAAGTGCAACGACAAATGTAGTGATGCAGCAAACAACATATACAAACTTGAGTGAGGGTTTTATTTGTGGCGGCAGCGATAATGTAGGGTAGAGATGAGACATGATAACATCATTATTTTTAAAATTTTAAAAAAATTATTAATTAAGATTAGTATATTATTATAATTATTTTTAAAATTTAAAATTAATGATGGATTGGGAGCTAATCTACCATAACCCGACTCAAACCCATGAATTAAGTAAATCGATTTCATTTTTAACCTATAATTGATAAAAATAAAAAAAAATTGAACCCAACTCAACTCAAAATCATAATAAATTATTTTTGTTCATGAGTTAAAATCCATATTGACAACCTTAATATAAACATGCGTGAACTTATGATAAAACATGTCTTAAAAAATAATTTAAATAAAGAATGTAATCAATGGTTTTGACATTTCTAATATGTATCTAAGTTTCAGGAAAAGAAATGAGATTAAGAATAAATGGAAAGGCAAAGTTCAACATAATGCACAGTTTATTATAAACCTATCCTTACATGTGAATACGAGTGCCAAACAAAAAATAAAATTAAATAAAAACAAGGCCTCAAAAGCACCACCAAATATGCTTCAAATCACCGTAAGACAAAGGTGCCAATTCAACAAAAAGGATTAAGAATTCATGGTGTTAGAGACAACACCTTTCCTCGTATAGCTAAAGTTTACATATCCACTCTGCAAATGCTACCTTACTTATGAAGTAAGAATATTATATATATATATATATATATATATATATATAGTAAAACTTTGAGATTTATTTACTAGGTTTTATCCTTTAAATTTAAACAAGTTCTAATTTTTTTTTCTTTGTATATTTCTCATTCTTCTGAACTAATATGTATGTATATGTGTGTTGGGTAGAATGTGAAAGGTGGGAAAAACATAAAATAAATTCTTTGGAAATTAATTAACCTGAGCAATGACGTAGCAAGTGATATTGAAAGACAACCTCACACATAATCAATTGTCATGAGTTGTTTTTTCATATGATTATTTTGTCCACTACCCCATCTCCATGTATACATCATCAATGTCTTCATAAAACTAAATTCTCCTCTTCCATTTCACAACCCTGTCTCCCCTCATCTCCTATTCTTCTTCTTCCTTTGCATGACCTACAAATTTTTCTCACAGACCAAGCATGGCTTCAACTCAGCATCACGTCCAAGGCCTAACACCCGAGGAACAAACACAGCTGGAACCCATCATAAAAAAATACCACCTTTTCGAACAGGCTCCGAACAAATGTTTCTCCATAATCTCGTACCGCATCGACGCTCCGGCGAGCAGGGTGTGGGTGTTCGTGAGAAGCTTCGAGAACCTTCAGAAGTACAAGCACTTCATCAAAGGGTGCAACATGAGAGGTGATGGTGGCGTTGGAAGCATAAGGGAAGTAACCGTGGTTTCGGGTCTTCCCGCGTCAACAAGCACCGAGAGACTCGAGATTTTGGACGATGAGAAACACGTCCTTAGCTTTAGGGTTGTTGGTGGCGAGCACCGACTCAAAAACTATCGTTCCGTTACATCCGTGAACGAGTTCAACAAAGAGGGTAGGGTTTACTCCATCGTATTGGAATCGTATATCGTCGACATACCCGAAGGGAATACGGAGGAAGATACCAAGATGTTTGTCGACACCGTCGTGAAACTCAACCTTCAGAAACTTGGGGTCGTGGCCATGGCTTCATCGATGCATGGACAATAACAAGAGATAAAATTCCATGGTATACTTGCAAAATTTAAGGGTTTTGGTATTGTTGTTCAGAATCTTTTTTATTCTATGTGTCTTGAGTGTGTTCAAACTCATTACGATGCCAAAATTCTTAGATTTGTCTTGATATATCACAGCAGTTTTCTCTATTTAGTGGAATTTTAGGAAATGGCGTAGGCAGGTTGGTTAAGTAGTGTGTTTGTTTTCATGGCTGTACGAAAAGAAGAAAAAAAAAAATCTAATGTACCATAATCGAGAAACATACACGCATTTGGACTCTATTTGTCCGTCGATGAGTAGTAATATTGCATGGTACTTTTGGAGCATGATTAGTTTTCATTGTTTCTTTCCTTCTTATTCGTTTCTTAATCTTCTTTATTAATAAGAATTGTGTTTTTTTTTTTTTCTTATAAGAAAATATGTTGGACTAACCAGTTCCATAACAATGATGATGACGATAGGTTTGTGAGGTTAATTGGATTTTATATATCGTGGTTGGCACGGTTGCAATTTTAAATTCAATTGATTAGATGGGTGTGTTTATGTTGTGGCCTTTATGTTAATTTAGTGATCGATTGGATATGGAATAGAAAAATGGGTAGAATATGATGAACTCGGATTGCATTGGATTTCAAGCTTTCTTAATAAGGAATGGGTCTTAAAATATTTGGATTTGACCTTCTTGCTAAGCAATTGACTCAGTCTGAAGAAGAAGATAAAATAATGTTGCTGGGGAGTTCTGGGTTAAGGGGTTGGAGTGGGCCTTTTCTGTGCCCTTTAATATTACAATTCAGTTCAAAAATCTATACCTCGAATCCACACTTTTAAAAGTTGTAGGGTTTGTGCCTATTGTACTAGCATTCTGAGGCTTTTCTGAAAATGATTCTCTCTCTCTCTATATATATATTTATTATTTTGTTTTCAAATTTAATGATTATTAATTATATTTATTTATATATTTATAATTTTATCTTTTTATTTTTTTTTCATTTTTATTTTTTAATATTTATTTATTAATAATATATTATTTAATCTCAAAATTAATACTTAAGAGTACCATTGATATCAAGAGAGAGAGAGAGAGAGAAATTAGATTGATGGTAGTTGAGTTAGATTGTATTTTCTGCAAGCTTAAATGTCAAACCCCTGATTCAAAGTAAAGAACAACAAAAAAGAGAAAATCCCGTGACCAAACTTCCCCAAACATGTGACTGACACGAGTGCTTTCTTTAGGTTTTACAAGCTATGTTTTTTTTTTTATTATTATTATTCTTTTATTTTCAACTTGTAACTTTATTTTCCACTTTGGGCCTTGCTTGACGTAAACTTCAAACTATATATGTGTTTGAAATTCGTCAAATTCATATTTATTTCTTCAGAATTTAATCACATTACCTACACATATCTTTATTAGAATCTTTTTAATTCAAAATGTTATTTTTGAACTAGTTTTTATGAAACCTAGACGCAGAATTGATGATGACTTCAAAATGGGCTTGTGATGTTCTTAGTACTAATATTCTTATTTCCTCCATCCCATAATTTCTTCATGAATCTTCATATTCCAAGTAAAATATCTTTTATTTCTTATTCTAACTTCTTCTTTTAGTTGTATATAACTTCAGCACCTCCATTTAATATATTTTCTAACAATTAAAAATAAATAATTGTTAATATTATGTATAAATTACATGTTTTTGCACTCAAATTGTACAAACGAGATACAAATTGCTCAATCTAAAATAACATCGTAAAAATGAGGTTGAATTCTAGAAAAAGTCAGTTCATAATGCATTTTCAGATTGACTTTTCCAAAAACATATTCTGAAATAAGTGTTTTGGAATGTATTTCTAGAAAAACTTTTTCAAAAACGTGTTCCAAATTGGGTGTTCCGAATACGTTTATGGGAAAGTCTTTCTAAAAATATATTCCAAATTAGGTATTTTAAAATGTGTTTTTGAAAAAGTCTTTTTAGAAAATGTATTGGATGTTTTCGGAAATGTGTTCTAGATTACATTTCAAAGATGAAGATAAGTGTAAAAATAAAATATAATTTAATATAATTATAGGAGAAATTATGGGGTGTAGGAAGCAACAATCTTCTTTTGGGATCCATTTTCAATGCATGTAAATGTAGGCCCTTATACCCAAGCTCATTATGCTTTCATCTACTTCTTCATTTACCACCAATTTTACACAAATTCTAAATTTTGAGCTAAATCATTCAAAATATAATACATTTATTCTTTATTAATCTTTCTACATTGTAAATTTTAGATTCTAGATTCATTTTTATTTTAATTAAAATTTTCATTTTCTGGATAATTTTTCGTAACTATAAAAAATTTATAAACTTCAAGTTTAGGATAAATTACAGTTATACTCTTAATTATTTTTTTTCAATTCATAATTATATCTACATGATTGGACTCAATGCTCTCAAACGTTAAAGAAAAGTTAGAGCCTAACTATTAATTAGGGTGTTTAAAATATGATAAAAAAATTAAAATCGATTAAATTTAAGTATTTTTAAAGTTTATTTTTTCTTCACTGAAATTGTTTGATTTAGATTTAATAAAAATTAAACCAAATCATTTATTATATTTTAAAATTTATTAATAATTAACAATCATATAAGTACGGCTTTTGATTTTATTTTTTTTACGTTTGATTTTACCTACAATATATTTATATTTATCAAAATAATATATAAAATTTATATTATAATGTTTAACTTTAACATTAGGTAATTTAATTTATGAATTTAAGAAAAAAATTAAATATTATAAATATAATAATAATCATATAAAACAATTACAATTATAAAAAAAACTTTTATGACTTTATTCATTATTATTGGTTTTATAAATAATAATCAGAACATTATTAAGAACAAATTGATGTAATTAAAGAAACAAATTAATTATTGGTACGTATTTAAATTGATGTAGATGGATGATCAAAATCAATTTGCTCACAAGAAATTGATGGGGTGGGTATTGAATAATGTCGGTAAGAATATTTACAACTTAAAATTCGTTATTAATGTCAAGGATTGACATAAAATATCATTTTTATAAGTCTTTTATTTAGAATGAAAATTTATTTCAATATGTTTAGCTCTTGTATGAAACATAGAATTTATCATAATTTGCATAATATTTAAATTAATAATATAAAGAGGTGCTTATATGGTTGGAGAAATCTATGTTTGGCCAAAAGATCATAAAGTTAAATTATTTTAGAACAAGCAGGAAACATGTACAATACTCTGATTCAGTTTATAGTTTAGAAATCCATAATTCTTGGGAAATTCCTTTTAATTAAGTTATTATTTTAATTACATTCAATTTCGGTTCTAATTGTAATTGATGTAGAAAGTGATTATTTTTTTCAGCTAAAAATTCGCTTAAATTAGAGAATTGTCAATGACAGGATTCAAACTCAATATCTTAAAGTTAGAGAATGATACTCCAACCACTAAACTACTAGAACTTTCTGATAATAAATTACAAATAAATTATATTTATATACAAATAAATATATATCCATGTAAATATATAAATATTAAATATATAAATACAATATATTTATATTTTTTGATATATTTATATATATTTATATAGTTATATATTTATATGTTGGATGTGAGAGCGCGCTCGAGGGTGAAAGTGAGACTCTCGCTTGAGCGAAAATACATTAAAGCTTATGGAAATTCACTCGTTCAAGCGAAAATATCTCGCTTGAGCAAAAATTGGTATTTTTTGCTTGAGCGAATGACGCGTTTCCCAAATTTATTTTATATCATTATATAAATAAATTATAAAGATTATATTGTATCATTAAATTACAAACTCATATAAAGAGATCCTCTCACAAATTTGACATCAAATTTTGAAAACCCACTCGACATACACTTTCACCTTCGAGCGTGCCCTCACATCCAATATATAAATATATAACTATATAAATATATCAAAATATATAAATATATTTGTATTTATATATTTTATATTTATATATTTACACGAATATATATTTATTTGTATATAAATATAATTTATTTGTAAATTATTATTAGAAAATTCTAGTAGTTTAGTGGTTGGAGTATCAGCCTCCAACTCTAAGGTTCCTGCTAGGTGACAATTCTTTTAAAAAATTAGTTTTGTAATTATTCAAACTTTCTAAGTTTAAATTGTTTTCATGTCCGAATCAATTATGGAATAAGACCGAGTACAGATCTAGAGAGGATAGAAAAATAAATAAAATGATGTTAGAGGCACCTCACTCAACAATCATAATTAAAATAAAAAAATATAATGATAAATATCTCATTCTTTACCTTAATAATTTATATACCAAAATTTTATATTTTTTTTCTCTCTTTCTCTTTCTCTAATTTTCTTCCTCTATCTTTCTTTTCTCTCTCATTTTCTTCTCTCTTTTTCCTTGGAGATTCATCTCTCCCTTGAAATTCTTTTCATACCCAAATTTTTTACTTTTTATATATTTATTTTAATTAAGCTATTAAATGCAAGAATTGCGGTTTTAAGGTTATATATAAACAAAACTTATAAGCTACCTTATTTAAAAATTTAATAATTATATACATATATATTTTATTAATAATTATTTTTAAAAAATAACAATTTTTTCTTTTTTTATAATAATAATAATAATAATTTTTAATAAATATTTATTTATTTCTAATAATAGTTTAACACTAATAATAATTTTTCTTTTAATAAATGAGTCTTTTATTATAAATATATTTAAATAATCTAGCAATAATATAATTTAATACATTGTGTTTGAAAAATTTTACATGATAAATTTTGAGGTGTTACATTTCTTGCATGCTTACAAATATTTAGTCATAGAATTTTTTATTGATTAAAACAAATAAGGGTAACTTTCTCTTATTTTCTTTTCTAATTCTCATGAGCATTTCGAGTGATTTCATTCTAAACAACTACCACTAGTAGAATTTGTC